CGAGCCACGGCTTCACACCTGGCTTTGTAGCGTTACTTGGAGATTTTTCGTGCTTTAGCCAGCTCCAGACCTCAGTCCTCAGGTTTCAGCTTCCTGGCTAGCTAGGATGACACGGGTGAGAGCCACCTGTGCCTGGCTTCTAAGTAAAATAGCCTTGCTGTTGCCAGGATGAGCTGCCCATTCAGTACCGCCACGGCGCCCTTCCTCACCGGCAGCGCTGGCGCGAGGAGAGGCCAGAACTAGACACGCAGATCGCAGCTGCGCCCCACGAGTCAGCAGAGCAAACGGCAGCAGGCTGCTGCCCAGGGAGGACCGAGTCACCTCCGCGGCTGCGAGCGGCATCCAGGACCCCTGGCTGCGTCTCCCCGGGGCACCGCACGACCCGGCCTCTGCCCACAGGTGGCGGGCACACTCAGGGACCAGGGACACTCAGTGGCTGTGTCGCTGTCTCTAACCAGGAGTTTACGCCCCACGTTAGTGGGACAGGGAGCGGTGACTGACAGGTCCCCTCCCCCCCTCCCGGGGTCTGGATTTCTGGTGGCACGGACGCTACCTAAAATACATGCGCGGTTGCCAAGCCATTGGTTCGTGGTGTCACTACCATCTCCCTCCACCAACTGGTGAGAAGGGGCGGCCGCTGGAGGCCTCCCCAAGAGGGGACCCCACCCAGGCTAGCCACGCAGGGCCCTGCTCCCTGCACCTGCTGCCAGGGACCCCGGTCACCCCCGGATCCTGGCTCTCCTCCGCTCTGGAAAGGGTCCGATGCAGGTGATAAATCCAAGCACCACCCTACGCCAAAACAGCCGTGAGTCCGCAGTCGATGCTCCTGCGGGTGAGCCAGGCTGCCCAGAGCGGCTCTGCCCACCGTGCCCCCGGCCCGCCAGCCAGGGTGCCCAGAGCGGCTCTGCCCACCGTGCCCCCGGCCCGCCAGCCAGGGTACCCTGAGCGGCTCTGCCCACCGTGCCCCCGACCCGCCAGCCAGGGTACCCTGAGCGGCTCTGCCCACCGTGCCCCCGGCCCGCCAGCCAGGGTGCCCAGAGTGGCTCTGCCCACCGTGCCCCCGACCCGCCAGCCAGGGTGCCCTGAGCGAGACCCACCAGCACCGCGTGTCCCTGCCTCGAGTCACCCCGACGTAAAGCTGCACATGGGGCGAGCAGCGCGTGGCACACTGCGCGTGTCCTGCGTCCCCAGGGCGGTACAACCTCCAGGCTCTCTCTGAACGAAAGCCCTGCCCAGCCGCAGCAGGGTCGCCCTGCATCTGATCTCCGCCCTGCACCACAGACCTTGGCCAGCACCCCTCACGCCATGTCCCCAGGCCCACACCACCACCCCATCGCCCAGCAACCGGGCTCAGCACGGTCCTGGGTACGGAGGGCTGGGTGGGCCGGCGAGGGGCACTGGAAGCTCTGATGGGGGGGGACACCGTCCCCCGGGCAGGTGAGTGGGGTCTGGGCACCTGGGAGCAGCAGAGGCCGGAGCTGGAAGGGAGCCAGGCGCGGGCACACCGGCCAGGTATGGACGCACAGCGGCTCGGCCTGCCGCCCGCTCCATTTCCCCCACCCCCCAGATGTGGGTGGTCTGGGGAGGGTCTGCGCACCAGGATTCGCAGGCCACCCAAGGAGAGGGCTGAGCACAAGGAAGCCATCTTTCTGCTCTTAATGGACGGGAGGCTGGTAGGGATCATGTGTAAGGTCGAGTTCCCAACAAATCCCAGGGCCCGAGGCTCCGGGCCTGGCTCCCACCCCCTCCCCACAGCCGGAGCCCGGCCCGTCCGTGGCTCAGCCGGCACACACCAGAAGAGCAAGAGTGAAGGCAAAGCCAGGCCCAGGAACCCCCACCCCAGGACCAAGTCAGACGCAGCCCAGACGCCTCCTGGCTGCACACATTTTACCGGGGAGGGGGGAGGAGGGGGAGTCTCCTCTGACGCCCCTGACTCGCCCGTGGGGACCCCGCCGGCTCCCGGCCTCTTCACCCAGGCCCGGCTGTGGGTGCCTGGTGCCGCCGGGCTGGGGATGAGGGAAACTGAGGAAAATGCTTGGAGACTGGGGACCACAGAGATGCTGGGAAGCTGTTGGATATTTTAAAATCCTCGTGCGCCTTCACCCACCAGCATGCTAAAATTAAACCCTGGCAAGGATGTGGGCGGCCGCTCCGGGACTTCGAACTTCCCTTTTGGAAGCAGGTTTGGCTGTCTCTGCTGAAGCCGGACGCCATGCCTGCTGGATGACCGCACGAGTCCACTTCCAGGGCACACACGGCAGGAAGGCCAGCGCGCATGCGTCCAAGAACCAGCAACGCGCTGCCCCTCCCCCAGCCCTCAGCAGGGACAGACACACAGCGCCAGTCAGCACTTTCCTGCCAAGGAGTATTATACAGCCGTGAAGATGTGTCATCACGCTCCAGACGAGGCGCTTGGCGGCCCGGAGAGAAGGTGGGCTGCGTGGGGCAGGAGCCAGGGATGCTGGGGTCCCGCGGGCACGGACCAGGCCTATTTGCTTTGCGATCGTGCACTGCGTTTTCACACACAGCGCGGGCTAACGATTTCGACACATATGATCTGGAAACCTGGCAGTCTTGCACCTGACGCTGGCAGGGCAGGTGGCCGGGCCGCTCTTGGGTGGAGACCAGTCTGCACCGCAGTTGCGGGTCCCGCGGGGGCCACAGGCCCACCCCTGTGCTTCTCCTGTAACAGGCCAGGGGCACGGAAGGAAACCCCTGAGGGAGACCCCGGACACTTCTAGAAAAAAATAACGCACACATGCACAATATTCTGCATGCAAATTCTGGGGGCCGATAGACTCCACCCAGCCCAGACTCATCCCAGCACGGGGCTCGGGGGAGGTGACGGGGGGGGGGGGAGGAGAGTCCCGGCCTTACTTTCCCCACCTGTGACATCAGAGACTTGGTGGAGATGTCGCTGGGCACTAGTTTGGAGCCTGTCGCCCGGCACGCACGTGGCCAGTGTCAGAGGCCGTTCTTAGCTGGGCTGCGGGCCTCCCCCACCGCCCCGTCTGCAGCCCCGCGCGCCACGCAGCCTCGCTGAGCCCCACGCAGCGCACGCACCCTCCGTCCGAGGTCGGCGTCCCTTCGGGAAGACATGGTTTTGGCACTTGTTTCTCCCTGGAAGCTCAAGTCATCTTGCAAATGAGATGTCACATGTGTTCAGTCACAGGCCTCCTGCCTGCTGAGAAGTTTCTAGAAGATACTCCAGCCCAGAGCCCGCTGCGTAGGCCCGCATGGCCCCGGGCTGCATGACCCTGGTGTTTTATAGCAATCAACCTCGGGTCAAAGGACCGCTGGAGCCTGGCCGTGGTCTCCTCCGTGCGTGTCACGCACCTGGGGGGAAAACGCGCCCCTCCCCCGCAGCCAGCTCCTCTGCCACCCGGCTGGTCTCGGCATGCCAATAAAGGAGACACGTGTGCAGCAGTAATAGAGATGTTCTGTGCTTATTCGCCGTGAAAGGGATGTTGGCTGGGGTGGCGGGCAGGGCGGGAGAGGGGAGAGCTTCTCTGGCCAGAGACTGGGGCAGGGGAGGAGGAGGAAGAGGAGGAAGAGAGGCTGGGTGGGGGCTGCACAGCCCTTCTTCTTCCAGAGTGGATCCATGTCCTGCCAGAGCTGAGGTGTGGGTTCTGACTGGCTGGGTAAACTGAGGACAGGGGAATGGACGGAAGCGGGTGCGGTGTGCGATCGGCCTCTCTTGCCCATGGCACCATCTCTCGGCGCTCACTGACGCTGCGCCAGGCCCAGGCTCAGCCCCTGCCGGGCACATCCTCAGCCCAGAAGGGAGAACCTTCCAGCACTGACCAGAGACGCTGTGGGCACCGTGGGGCGGCAGCAGAGCGGGGCCGGGGCCCCGCCCAGGCGGCCGGCGGCTGATGAGGATGGAAGCAGCACAAGCGACCCCCAAATGCTTCTCATCTGGTCCTCAAGGAGAAAGGATATTTGTGGTCGTGGAGAAATTTGCCACCCAGTGCTGGCGCTTTGGTGTCGTGTTTCTGTGGCCGTGAGTTATTCATCCCAAATTGGTCTCTGCTGAGAAACAAGAAAATTCCATCTAGAAGTGGGATGGGAGGTCACCCCCCACCCCGCGGCGGGGGGGACGCTGGGAAGTGACAGGAAGAAGCAAAACATGATGCGGTGGGGCTCCCTGTGCTATCGGCCCGGCTCCCACGTTCTCCCCCGGCCGCAGACGTGGGTGCACTCGGCAAGGTAGCGGGGAGGTGTGCCCAGGTGCACACCTGGCTCAGAGCCCGGGACACACGGGAGCCCGGAACTCTGCTCCCCTGTGTCCAGTTGCCCTGAGACGCGACGTGGTCTAACTCTGCCTCCTGCACAGGCTCTGAACACAGCTGACCACAGGCGGCCTCTGCTGGCCAGGGCTCAGTGCACCTGAGTGCTCCGCCCACCCAGGCCCGGCTCCTCGCCCGCCGCCCGGCCATCGGCCCAGGAGCTCAGCCCTGCGGCCGGGCCGCGCGCGGGGCACCGAGGGTCCTCACTCCACCGTGGGACTGGTCAGGCGGGGGCCTTCTGCCCCTCAGTAGCTTCGTGGACGGGAGGCAAGTGTGGTTGATGCAAGCTGGAAAGTTCTAGATGCATCTCAGCCTCTTCCAGTCCTGGTGACCCACCCCCTGTGAAGCCAGCGCGTTCAGTACCAAACCGCCACCATCCGTGATGGCACCTCTGCGTCACCTCTGCCGCCGCCACCATTACTGTGAGCACCTCCATCACCACCCACAAAACCGCCAGCACCACCAGCACGCCACCTCAGTGACAGCACTACCGCTGCCCACCTCCCCATCAGCCCCCAACAGCCCCGCAGCCAGGGCAGGCACCCTTCCTCCGGGTCAGGGGAGCGCGGATACATCGTGTTTTGCTCTGAGGGGGGGCAGCACAGAGGCACGGTGGTGACCCCCTTCCACGTATGACGGACTGACATGCAGAGCACGTGGAAATCCGCCCCGTCTCATCCGGCTGGCCCCGAGCCTGACCCTTGACCCAAAATGGCGGATGCCAGCATCGACACCCTTGGCTGCTCACTGTCCCCTGGCTTCCTGTCCAGGGAGGTCCGGATGTGCCCGGAGCCGCAGCCCTGTGTCCACCCTCCCCGCGGGGCCCACGAGGTCCCGCTGCCCGGTGGGGACGGCCCTCGGCAAGGCCAAACCGCACCCAGCCTGCACGGGAGCCACGCCGGCTCCGAGCGCTGCGGCCCAGCCCTGTGTCTCCACCCGCCCCGTGGACGGCGCTCCGGGTTCAGAGTCTAGTTCACCTCCTGTGGAGCTCAGCTTCCCCACGCATGCAAAACAACTGGACTCGTCTGTGGGGGGGGGGGGTGACCGCGCTAGGGCTGTGCTGCGGTGTCTGGGGACATCTCTGGTTGGCACAATGGAAGGAGGCGCTTCTAGCACGGGGAGGATGGAGGCCTGTCGGCTGCCGGCCTGGCTCCAGAGCCTACTGCGAAGAGCGAAGCCTGGCACAGAGGGCCTTGGCTCCGCCTGGGTTTGCCCGTTCTCTAAATAAGGGGGGGCAGAAGCCTTTCTCTCCCTGCCCAAGCTGGCCCAGTAACCCCCCCCAGCCTCCCCGCATCCTGGGACCTGGGGTGAGGGGCCCCCAGGGCAAAGGCTGCACTGCCCAGCCGGATCCACTCTCGAGGGCCCATACCTGCCCTCCTCCCTTGTACCAGCGGGCTGGGCCACGCCGCTCCCTCTTCCTGTCCTGCTTTTCCTCCTCCTCCTGCTGCCCTGGACTGTGGCTCAGTGAACTCTGCCTGGGTTGTAAAGCCGTCTTTAGAAAGGGTCGCAGGAGATTTCTTCCCCTATCAGAGCTCCAGGGGTGAGGTATCACGTTACTAATTCCCTTAATTGCATGTCTGGGCTAAAAAGAGACTCTCTTAGTTTTCCTAAGAAGTTACATTCTTAATGACATTAAAACATTGTGGTAAAGTCAGCTAAATGCTAACTGATGTACTTAAATCATGAATCAGAGCAGGGAGTGTTTACCTAACTGTGTTTACCCTTCTTGGTCACTCGTTTTGTAGGTTTTTGCCAAAACCGACAGAGGAACAGTGGTGTCAGATTCAGTATCTGGAAGAGACTCAAGAATTTTTGTTTTCTTTCGATTTTTTAGCCCCAGACTGAGTGAATGGTGCAATCACGCAGTAATCAAAGAATTAGAAAAAGCAGGGGGCAGCCGGCCGGTTCCCCTCCCCCACCGTGGCGGCAGCCAGGGGGAGGAGAGGCTGCGGGGAGGAGAGGAACCCCGGTTCTCCCACAAGGAATCCTCCTCCTTCTGCACTGCTGGGTCTTCCCAATTCAACTGTTTAAAAAAGAAAGAAAAGCAGATGTGATTAGCACTGAGAGACCATCAACCCGGGTGCCAGCAGCTCACGCCTGCCGTCCCAGCTACTCAAGAGGCTGAGATCCGAGCAATGGGGCTGTTCAAAGCCCATTGGGGCAGAAAAGTCTGTGAGTCTCTTATCTTCAATTAACCATCAAAAAGCCAGAAGTGGAGCTGTGGCTCAAGGGGTAGAATGCCAGCCTTGAACAAAAACACTAAGGGACAGCACCCAGGTTCTGAGTTCAAGCCCCAGTACCAGCATACACATGCACACACGCACACACACACACAGAGTATCAAAGCAGCAGCAACCCACCCCCAGCCCCACCACCCGATCCTCCCCACGAACCTGAAGGCAGATGAGCACAGATGAGCACACTAATGCCCAGAACACTAACACACTCTACCACTAAGCCCAGGAGCATTTCTTTTTAAAGCAGCTAATACGTGATCAAAACCACCGAACAATTCGTACCAATGCATTTAGACTCTGCATACCTTTCCTCTAAGGAAGAAAACCCAAACACCACCACTGGGCACTGGCAATGCTGCCGTGCAAGCCTGGGCCAGCCGGGGCTGGACAGACAGACGTGGGGACACGGAGGTGATCACGCGGAGCAGCGTGTTAAAGAGGGACGGATGGCGGAGGCAAAGCAGCGTGTTAAAGAGGGATGGGTGGCGGAGGCCGGAGGCTGGCGCGCAGCTCCTCGGATGTGCTGCTTGCAGACTGTCATGGGGAAAAAAAGTTCCAAAAATGGTGGGTGCAGGGGCCCAGGGGGGGGTGGGCATACACAGGCTCATGCCCAGCTCTGGCCACCCACCAGAACACCAGGCACTCAGCTCGGTCCTAAAATCTCATCAGCAGCTCTACAAGCTGGCCGCCATTACACCTATGACACAGATGAGGACCAGAGCCAAAGCGCGGGCGGGGTGAGGCTCTTGCCAGGGTCACTGCGGTGCTGACCCCTGCCCAGCACTCGGAGCGCCCTCCTTCACTTGGAATGGCTGTGCAGTTTTCCACTTCTCCTTCCTAGACAGGCCACCCTGTGGTATTCACTCACCTGCTAGGGACAAGCATCTAGCTTTGTCTCTAGACTCCAGCCTCCAGAAGCAACGCTGGGGTGATTGAATGAAGGCCGTGCATGAAACCCATGGTGATGGTGGGTGGGTTCTCATGAGTGGAAGGGATGAGAGTGAGAGCAAAGGCCCTGGGCTGCGGGAGGACTCCACACAGAGGGCCACGCAGAGGAGCCCACAGAGGGCCACGCAGAGGAGCCCACACAGAGCCACACAGAGGAGCCCACACAGGACCACACAGAGGAACCCACACAGAGGGCCACGCAGAGGAGCCCACACAGGGCCACACAGAGGAGCCCACACAGAGGGCCACGCAGAGGAGCCCACACAGAGCCACACAGAGGAGCCCACACAGAGCCACACAGAGGAGCACACACAGGGCCACACAGGAGCCCACACAGAGCCACGCAGAGGAGCCCACACAGAGGGCCACGCAGAGGAGCCCACACAGAGGGCCACGCAGAGGAGCCCACACAGAGGGCCACGCAGAGGAGCCCACACAGAGCCACGCAGAGGAGCCCACACAGAGGGCCACGCAGAGGAGCCCACACAGGACCACACAGAGGAGCCCACACAGAGCCACACAGAGGAGCACACACAGGGCCACACAGAGGAGCCCACACAGAGCCACGCAGAGGAGCCCACACAGAGGGCCACGCAGAGGAGCCCACACAGAGCCACGCAGAGGAGCCCACACAGGGCCACGCAGAGGAGCCCACACAGGGCCACGCAGAGGAGCCCACACAGAGCCACGCAGAGGAGCCCACACAGAGCCACGCAGAGGAGCCCACACAG